AAAAAAAAGATTTCAAAAGTTTGAGCTATTAATTGTCTAGATGATAAATTTTGTGAAGAAAAATATAATTATATTTAGCATCTTTTAAGATAAAAGGAAAGTATGTAATAAATTTTCTAATTCCCAAGAAAGTAATTAAAATCATCATAGTTTAAATTACTAAAGGGGAAACCTTTAGCAACCAAGAAACCTAAATGATCCAAAATAACACATATCTAAGAATTCAAATCCAACAGTCACTTTGTAGAGAATGATGAAGCTTTCTGTTCCCTGGATAGTGTACGATATGAAATAATAATAATATCTAATCGATCAAGGATTCATGAGGGTAGGAGGGGAAAAACGAGAGAGCTATATCAAGGGCTCAAGTAGAAAGAAAATGTTTTGGAAACGTTGATGGCAACCAATGTACAAACGTGCTTAATACAACTGAGTTATAAGATTCCAAGATCCCCTGATAAAATGATTAATTAAAAAAAAAAAAAAGATTTTCATCCTAGGAAACCCAAAGGAGCAGTTCTGCTTTGCCCTCTGAGGTCAACAGATTGGATGGCAGTGGGCATACATAGTGATGTGTTTATTATCCTGAAATGCCATCTGAATTTGAAACCTTATTCTAGGAGCACATGCACTTATATGTCAACATGAACCTACTTAAAAATATCTGGAATAGATATAAAGTTCAGAATTACAAAAAGCTACTATACCTGCTGTGAACCACTGAAATTCGTTGAATTGGAAACTGAATTATTTGCATATATAGTAGAGGACGGTGCAAAACTAGAACCTAGAGACAGACAACAAATGACAATTACAATGTGTCTTTCAAAAAGCGCTTCTTCCACCACAATAAAAATATTTCATTTGGCAGAACTCAGTGAGAAAAATACATTTTGGATTTTCTTGTAACTGTTAAGGTAGTGAAGTTGAGTGACTTACGAAGAAAATGTGCTTGACCCGATCCTGCTTTTAACAGCAGGTCAGGTCTTCCGGAAGGGAGTTTGGTTCAACAGGAGCCCACTGGAACAGTGTTGGCAACAATTACAGCGAATAGCTGGGTTGGTCTCAAGAAGTAAAGGGGTATTTGAAAAATAAAATAGGACAGAGGCTACTTCCAGGAAATAACTGGGTCTTTTCAAATCATTATACCAACTGCATGTATATATAAAATCACTTGTTCAAACCTTTTGAAATAACTATCTTAGGAACTAAATATACAAAAATCCATTTAGAATTAATGTTAGCATCTCCCTTTCTTGTTGCTTCCCTCAATCCCTTTGTTAGAACAAAATCGCTGTGATCTCTGGCCCAAACACAAGGGAAATTTCATTTTGAAATGGCATGGGGTTGTAGCCCTTCTAAAGTTTCATAAGAAGGCCTTGATTTTCTTTCCTTTATTGATTTTTGAATTAGAGCAATGACAAGTAAACAATCACAGGTTTTAAAAAAGTGACCTTAAGAAACGTATTTGTCAAGGGGGAAATGAAAGACAACTGAGGCAGTGGGTGACTTCCTCTGCTCCTGTCCCCTTGTGGCACCACCATTCTGTCTGCAACCACATTAAGAGAGAGCGAGCAGAATTTGTGGGGATTCTAAATTAAGAAGGGAATTATGGTTCTATGTGAGATACATTAGAGGGGGAATTCAAATTACATTAAAAAATGTATGTGAAAACAGATGATCAATAGAGGATTGTCAGGAATGAACAAAAACTCCTCAGCCGTGAAAAGATAAACAAGCCTTATAAAAGTGCTAATTCAATTTCAGATACGATCCAAACTGAGTTAAGTGCTTAAGGAACATTGCAAAGAAAATACTACTTTAAGTTCCGAGACATTGAAATAGCCTGAGTAGACACCCAGCTCATGGCTTACCATGATGGCTTTGCCAACACTAGCAGGGAGGTTGCTTTCCACAGACTTGGTTTCTTGCTGATATTGTGGTTGAAATTTTAATTATCTAAAGTTGGCACGGATCATGCTTCTTGATCTATGTTCAACTATTTTCATGATGTTTCTGCCTAGTTATCTTTTTTTTTTTGGAGGGGGGTGGGGGGGTGATAAAATTGTGTGAGCAATGGTACAATTTAAAACTGTCCTTCGGATGTTTGCTCCTAAGTTTGAAGCCCATCCAAGGAGTTAGCTGTCCTCTAACAGGCTTTAATGTGGCACTACTTACCTGGCATTTGATAAGAGTAAGGTGTCTGGCCTGGTTGTGGGGTAGAAAAGCCGGGGCTGTAGCTGAGGCACCCGCTCTGTAGGGGGGACTGTGCCTGTGAAAGTCCACTCTCCGTCTTGATGCCTGGCAACATCACACCCAAATCTGTGTGTAAAATGCGTGCAAACCATTTCATCAGTAAGAGGATCTGACGTTCCAGCTATCACTTACAACAGAGATAGAAGCTTATGTACAACTTCTAAGCAGCAGGATTACCTGCTCATCACCAAAGAGAGAGAAGGTGGAAGGCATGCAATACCGTAAGTTGGCAGGCTGTAGGGCTGTCCTGTCTGGGAGTAGGCCGTGTAGACGGCTGGCTGCTGCATCCCCGAATACTGAGTCTGGCCTGCATAGGCGGACATTGTTTGAGCTGCTGGTGTAGAAAGAATGTGTGGATAGGGCCTAAATATCAGAAAAATAGCATTACTGTGGCAACAAAGACTGCATATTCATTCAGACAGCTTAGTTTCAGAGAGACCCTAATATATCCAGGAAGTAGCCTCCTATTTATCCACAATTCCATTTTAACAATATAGGAAAGAACAACAAAAAGTTGAATATCTGGAGCCTAGAGTCTGCTACACACCAGTCTAGAGGTGTGGGGCCCATAATTAATTTAACCTCCCTTTGCCTGGGGTCCTGAAGGCAGAGGGGTTGTGCCTTGGGCAGCTGACCACATATCAACAGTTCGAAACCACCAGCGACTCCTTGGGGAGAAAGGAGGCTTCCTACTCCAGAAAGAGTTACCATCTCAAAAAACCGACAAAGGCATTTCTGCTTTGTCCTATCAGGTCATATTAGGTCGGCATCAGCTCAATGGCAATGAGTTTGGTAATGGGTGCTTACGCCTCACCTGTAAAATGAGAAATCTGCTTTATATATATTTTTTGTGGAGCCTCTTCCAGGGTCTCTAATTCTTGCGTAGCTCTGAAATAGTACTCCAATCAGTATTTAGGTGAGAAAAAATAAAGCACAGGCCAGTTTATGAATATGCTCGTGTGCACACTAACACTTCTGAGAGACTTAATACTCCATCAAGATGATTACAAATATTACACAAGATGATTGCCAAAATCTCTACTTGAGATCCCTAGATTAAAAAGCTTCTAACCATTCTAAAACATGTGGAGAAAACCGATAGTCAATTGATGACGCCATTTACTGAGCTATATAAAGAAGCTAAAAGTGAATCCATACCCCAATCAATGGCCATGGAGTCAATCCAACTCACAATAGCATTCCAGAGACCTGGCAGGCGGAGGAGAACTGCCCCACAGCGCTCTGCTGGAGCAGACAAATTAACCTTTCTTCACAGAGAAGCTGGGGGTTCTCAGCGCTGACTCTCTGGTTAGCAACCCGGTGCTTGTCTCACCAGCCCACCAAGGTTCATTCAGAAGCATTTGCTTTTTTGTAATTGCAAATTCTTTAAATATGTTGTCTAAAAATAATTGACTTCTGTCAGCATCTTAATTTAATGCTAATGAAAATGCTGCATATCAACTGTTTCAGGAAGTGCATGGTGAATAGAAAATGTGTGGCATTTTATTGGCTATTGTATTAAAAGAATAATAATTCTGAATGTTGGTAGAGCATGCAGTTAACAAGCTATGTCCTTATCTCCAGCTCCCAGCAACAGCCAATCTGTATTGCTCCGACCTTTTCTTCTATTTCTTAGGCCAAAAATCTACCAAGAATTGCAAATCTTTGAGGGTGTGTGTATTGAGGGCTGGGGGCGGGGGAGCTACCATGAAGTAGAGGGCTCCCTGAGAAGAACTGAAATGTCCTCCCTTTCATTATGCCACATTGGACATAACATCCCCAGTGGTTGTCTGTTTCCCAGCCTGAAACTCAGGACACGCTCTCTAGATGCTGTGGATAATAGCATTACATATAAATGCCTATATATTAAAAAGTCAAAATTAAATTCAGATATAAATTCAATACACTTAAACCTGAAATATTCTCGACTGCCTGCTTTAGGTTGAATACACGAAATAGGGGAACTGTGAAGTATACTTACTCTCTGGAAATATCTTAATAGAAAATGAAATCCAATGAAAATATCTCAGCATGGATTAAATTATAAAGTGCGGAACTACAGTGGTTTTCTTAAAAGTAACTGAGACTTTTGTATTTGTCTTCAAGAACCAGGGTACTCTGGTTCGAGTTTGATGATTTCCTCAAGGAATCTCAATTCCTCAATGATCTAGAATGAAGAAAAATTGTGCCCAGAGAGAAATGGGTAATTCTCTCTCTCTAGGTTCATACAGACTATCTATAGGCTTCAGCATCTATCTGTGCAACTATCCATAACACAATCATATCCATAAAGGTGGAGCAATTTAAAACGAACATGTTGTGTAAAACCAGATTAATAAAGGTGACACGAGAAAACTGTTCTACTTGTAACAAATCTGAAAAGCCTCCAGTGACCACTTACTTGGAAGGATATAGCTGCGGAGAATACTGATGTGCTGACCTGGGGCTGTAGCCACTGCTTGTTATGACTGTAAGACACAAGAACCAGTGCACAATAGGTTGCTTCTCAAATATATTTCATGGGACCGCACAAAACCTATCTGAAGAAATCGCCGGGCTAAACATATATATTCAAACACTGATTTTCTAAAACTAAAATGAATGAATTCATCCTCAAAAAATTCATTTTCTAAAAAGGAAACAGCTGCCAATGCAGTCTCTCCTAAGTGAGCAACTTTCACATGTTGTTTTAAGAGCATGAAACCAGCATTCTTCTTACAAACCACCCCCTCTATATCACCCTTCTGTTTCCTCCAGGCAGTACCATGCTCTGCCATCCTAACAGGCTCTGCATGCGAAGCTTTGTTACAGGGTAGGGATACTTTATGTATATATATGCATGTGTGTATCTATATGTATGTATGCATACAGATACATACATACATACAGTAGGTGCCTCAATTTTGTGAACTTTAAGTTTCAAATTCCAAGTATGTGTATATATATACATATATGTATGTGTATGTATATATTTAGTATGTGCATCTATAGATACATACATGTATGTGTGTATATATGTATGTATCTATATATAGATATATTCATACATACAGTAGATGCTTAAATTTTGTGAACTTTAAGTCTCAAATTCCAAACATGATGGCTATATGTGTTGCTCTTCTTTCCAGACCTATTCTAAATGAAAACCAATAAAAAAAAAATTGCAGAAAAATTCTAAGCTTTGCCCTTCAATTTGAAGTTGTAAAATGTTATTTCCTTTTCCTTGGCCAATCATATGTTTAGTCAGAATAGCACGGTCCATATTATTCTAATCAGAATCAGAAGGTGCATAGAAAGCATGTGTGACAATGGCAACACTTTTTCTTATTTTAAATAGTCAAAAACTTTACCAAATATTGTAACAGTCATATTTATGAATATATATACATTTTAACTATTGGAAAGAGAACTTTCTAAGGAGACCTTAAAGGTGCAAGTCAGGTCTCATTAACATGTCATCCAAACATGCAGTCCCAAACTGGAATATTGCCAAAAGTTTGGACATTTCTCTTTCCTTTAAGGATCTGCCTTGACTAAGACAGATGGATGGCCAGAATATAGACTCTAAAGTGTTGGGCCGGCTCCTTCAGAGCCAATCCACACTGGGCAAACACACAGAGTGTCTTTATTAGGCCATCTGCTGTTCATTCACTTTTCAAAAAGATTAAAGTAGTACACAATGCTGCTCTGGAATTAGTTTAGTCTAATCAATCATAGTTGTACTTCAAAGTACTATGTCCTTTCTAAGTTGTTCATAATAATTCTCGAGCTAAACTTTTAGAATTGTAAAAGTGACAAATAGGTTTAGGTTGCTAACTACTTTATGAAACATGATATATTTCTATATCAAAATGCTATTAAGATCCTGTCTGATCTACTACTTCATAAACATGCAGGATTTAATATATATAATTCTATTTGACCTATAGGGTTTGAATATGGACACAATAATTTAGTTTTCACAGAAATGGAGAAGAGGATCTTTGCAAAAATATTATGAGCCAGTTTTGAAAAAAATCATCATTTTTAGAACAATAGGTGAATGTTCCAAATATTTTCTACCCCCAAAATGTCAGTGAACTTGTTATACATAGTTAATAGTAAACTGTTGATTAAATTTAGTAGTTTTCTACTTCTCTATATAAAAAAGATCTTTAGAAAATAATTACAAATTTCAAATTAACTCGGTGAGAATAAACTCATTCTACTACACTATGACCAAAACATATACATGATACAATAACAATAATATTAGTTTACAGTGAATTCAGTCTGATTTATAAATTCATGTTAGTGACAACTCCAGTTAACAGAAATTTAATTGTGGAGCTTCACTTTGCCACTCAAACCTTGGGCTACAATCTTAATTATTGTCAAGATTACAAAAAACAGACTTTTTCAAAGAGACAATGAATAACCAAAATAAATATTTACTATATCATCTTTGATTAAATGAACCAAGTAGCAAAATTATATATTTCACAAAAACCCTGTACCTCTGCACAAAATTCTGAATAAATAGTATGAGTTGTCCCTCTAATGAATGGATCTAGACATAGGTAGAATAATGGACCCACATAATAAAAAGTTTCAATAACTCTTTAAACTTTAGTTTTCTGTGTCTATCATTCATTGTCTATGTAGAAAGTAAAAACTTGGGTCCAGAAAACTAAAATGCTCACATAAGGACTAAAACTTGGAAGGTTTCTTGTTTCTTTCCTAAAATGTGTACTTCCCCCACCTAATATATATATATTTATATTTGTATATCTTCAGATAACTGAATACCGCAATGTTGACAAAGTGAGTGGTGACTATTCTGATGAAACTGCTCCTACCCAGGGAAGCCCACCTTTCCGGCATGCCACAAGCACATCTGAGAGACCTACCCAATTGGGAGACCTGTCATTGAACTGATCATAGATGTGACCCAAAGAAAGTAACTAATTATACTACAGTAAATGCATATCTTCAAAATGCCCTGAAAATTAATTAAAACAGAAATTTTAAATAATACTATCAGCTTCTCAGAAGATGGTGCCAAACAATTTTGAAGTTTTACTCATTTTATTATCCTGACACCCTGGATTCATGACTTCCCAATAGGAGGAAGAAGAGTGGATTTTGCCTGCTAGGGGATATTTAGCACCGACTAGAAACACTTTTTCTTGTCACAACTTGTGGGGAGGGGGGACTGTGGTTTGTTACTGGAATACTGAGATCGATGCTCAGCATGCTGCGAATCCCCCAACAATGGAGAGAACCCCTCCACCCCAAAGGACACACCTGCACATTGAATAGGGCTGCAGCTGACTGTCTCTGCTCTAGCACTTCGCTGTGTAATACATCGATTTGTGGGGTGGAAACTATTCTATATCTGGGCTGTCCAATATGGTAGCCTCTTATCACATACAGGATTAGTAAAGTCAAGCGTAGTGCGAGTGATTAAGCAGTCAGCTACTAGATGAAATGATGATTCAAATTCACCCCGAGGTGCCCTCAAAACAGGCCTGGTGATCTGCTTCTGAAAGGTCACGACCTTGAACCCTCAGAAACCCTGTGGAGCAATTCTGTGCTGCACAAAAGAAGGCACCAAGAGTAAGAATTGAGTCAATGGCAGTTACAGCAACAACTATGCATGTGTGTGTGTGTGTGCGCACACATATTCTGTGATGTAAAGGAATAACTGGAGTTAAAATTTGAACTTTATCTGATTTTAATTAGTTTAAGTAAAAATGTAGATAGTCATATATGGCCAGTGGCTATTTTAGTGGACAGCACAGCCCTAAATGAGTCATGCATTTGGAAATTACTTTCAGAAAGATGAAAAGGTAAGGATTCCATACAGGATGCTTTTTCATCCCTATTTGCTTTTCCATTTCTCCATTTTTCTAATGGAGTCCTCCAGAAAGGGACCGGTATCATAATTGCCTTCTTGACTTCCTTTCAGCAGACCTTGACCCACTTTACACTTCCAGGTATGTCTACAATCTTGCTTTAAAAATGGATCCAGAAGTCTCTAAAATTGTTTCTGGAGCTAACATTCTAGGATTTTGCTATTCACCTTTCATGTAACTAACCCAACTGCTAGTGTATGATTTAAGCAATTAATTTTACTCCGTCCTTAAAAATCATGTTGGGAAGGTGCGTGAGTAAATGTGCAAGACAATCTAATGTTTGAGTAAGTTACTACCTACTTCTCTGCAGGGAGGTGAGGGCAGCACAAGAAGGTATATAGAGTCACACATAAGAGCCTCTATATGAGACTATTTCTTCCTGTTTAGGGTGATGATGAGTATGTGAGTACATGACAGGGAGTTCCAACCAGCGTAAATTAGTAAAAATGGATCATCGTTAGCTTTAAAAGTCCAATATGCAACAATGGCACTATGCGTAAAGCGATTCCTCAATTCTTCTTACATAAAGCATGCCCATGTCAAAGTCTTATACTCAAATCTGAATTAAGAATAAAGTATGTGAAACGAGACTAACTGCATTTAAAATTCAGGACTGTGATTATGTTTCTGGGTGGAATGCTCATCTTTCTGGTCTCCATACTTCTCTTCAGGTTAAAAAAAATCTCTTCATCAGATAATAAAACAAACACAGTATTGTAATTTGAACAAAATCTTTAATTAGTTCAACTTAATTTGTGCCCTTTGTGCCCAGCTGGGAGCTATCAGGTATTTTTGTTTTGAAAGGATGGATGTTTAAAGCCATGCGATTGTCCCCTTTGAAGCACTGTGAGTGAAAGTAATGCTCTGGGAGGCTGACTTCTAATGCAACCAGCGTGTGCTCGCCTGCAGTCCATTAACCTTTAATACTTGTCACTCAGCTGCTCACACAGGAGGATTTTTTTTTTCTTAACCCAGAAAGGAAACAAGGTTATTTAGAAGGAATCAAATGGATAGGTTTACATCTCAAATGGTGGACAGGAGGCAGTTTTTAATGCAATCGAAATGGGCAAGTTGAAAGAACAAAGTAAATGATTATAACCTAATTGCTAAATTAATTAAATGCGGTATAGGATAAAACATAGGCGGTCCGCTCCTGATTTCTGTTAAGAAAGCCTTGGGGTTGTTTTGGCATCAACTGAACATTCAGCAAAACAATTTCCAAATATTATTCCTAACATGATGTCTTTTTCAGTGACCAGTAGTTCTCCTAAGGGTGAATGGACTGTGACGGGTACAAACATCAAACTTCAAGCAGCTTTGGTGTCCAGGCCGATTACTCCCAAGGAGGAGTCCAAGGACCCCAATGTGTATGCGACAACACACGAGCTTCGGGCTTTACCTGACCCCGTAAAAGTGTCAAGCGCTCCGTCTCCAGTCGTGCTTGTGGTTTCACTGCTGTTCAAAGGCTCTGTTTTGACTGCAAGAAGAGACACTACGTAGAAGAATAAGGACATGTGAGTGTTACTGCTAAGTTTATATTACAGACCCAGACTACTCCGCTAGAGCGTATTCTAGCTACCATGGGCATGCACGAAAAAAACTTGAGAATTTGATGAGAGTTGTGTTAATTTAGCTTCTAAAGGGAAATGCACTGATAGAAGATTGAATCTACAATTCCTCCGTATCTAAAAACTAGTTCTTCAGATGCTGGCTTTTGAAGGCAGTCAACTTTCCAAAGTGAGAGAGCTATGTACTTATATTTGCAATTTCAACCGACCACAGCATACTCTGATACTATCGCTGGCATACTGGCGCAAGGGGGAACCATCAGACAGTTTTCCCCACCTGGAATCCAAGCTGTAACAGAGAGACTAACCAGCTGATATTTTATTCTTCCCAAGAAGATGCTTTAAAAATCAAGGTAGGAAAGAATGATGAAAGCATACAAAAATACCTAACCCACGGGCCTATTCGTGTGATGGGCGTGGGTCGAGGGATGAGGCAGTCAGGAAGTTTCCTGCTCTAAATGAGAATAAACTGCCATCGCTGTTGGGTGTGCTCTACTTTAGTGGTTTGAATTTATATATGTATATGTATATATATAATGCATATTTTATAGACAACATGTATATACATAATGATACTCACTGCCACGGAGTTGCTGGGCTGCCATGTTTATGGAAGCAGACTGCCTGATCTTTTACGCTGGAGCAGCCGGTGGGTTAGAATGGCCAATCTTTTGGTTAGTAGTCAATGCTTAACCCACTGCGCCACGATGGCTCCCATTGCAACCATAGGCATAGGATAAGAGATGACTTCTACAGAGATAAATATATCTTTTGAAATCTCTTAAATATGCTAGTCCCCTTTTCAGGTCACGTATTTTGGCAAAAACTTGACTTGGCAATGACATAGGTAGGCACACGTGACTGTCATTAGATGCAACGAGTTGGGGGCAGGCCGGGCAGTGGGCAAGCGTCTATCCATTTTGTCACACCATATTTTCCCTTTGCGGGCAAACTTTGCAACACATTTCACAGCAGCCAGGAAGTAAATACTCAAGTATGTAAGATTCAACACCTCTTGTGCTTCCGTGTCATAAACGGAATCCAACAATTCAATAATTTAGAAGCAAGCGGGAAACTATAAAGATGGAAGTGGAAAACTTGCCAATCCCAAACAAATATGACGAAAAGAAACATGGGGCCAGAGCGTGCCCAGCACACAAGCAAATCAGCAACGCCACCCTGTGAGTCAAGCCGCTCAGCAGTGGAGGAACATGCAACAATGGTGACGTGACCTGTACACGGAGCAGAATCGACGGTACCCTCAGTGAGCTTTGGGGTAGGTTAGTATCCATAATTTAACAGCCTAAGGTAGGTTTGCTCGAAGATTCATAAAAAGGTTGGGGAGAAAAAGTCGAGAAACTTGACTTACTTATCCCGCCAAAAGGGATATTTGAAATTCAGTTGTTTTTCAATAGCAACACTAAACTGAGGACTAGCCACCCAAACAAGCCCGCTGGCATTGAGTCAATCATGGCCAAGGCCACCTGGAGCACCGAGTGCACCCGCCCCCAGGGAGCCTCCCAGGCTGGAGATGGTTCGAGACTCACACTGCCGTATTTTTCTCCCAGGGAGCAGCTGAGGAGTACAAACAGCCAAACTTTTGGTTGGCAGTTGACTCCTTAACCATTAGGCTACCCGGGCTCCTCTGTCTGAGTAATGGTGTCTAATTACTTGTGTATGAAGAAATGAATTAGATGATATAATTTTTCAGTAATTAATTGCCCAGCAGTTCGTGTTATGACTATGCCAGATTAACAGTTATATTTGCCAGGGCAGAATTATTTACTATTGAAATACTGGAGAGATTACATTAAACTAGATAAAGTACATCTACCTAATCCTTAAACAATCTATCTGAATAGGAATCATTATGTCTATCTTATGCATCAGGACGCTGATGTTTGAATAGGTGGAGGGGCTTGTTGTAGAAGTCTCATCATGGGAGATGATGGAACTAATATTTAACCCAGACCTTTACTTGTAACAACCATGATCTTAGCCAAAAAAACAGGCTGAAAATGGCTGCGGTTCATGGGATAATTTTTCATGAAGGCTTAATTTATAAACAAGGTAATTACCCTAACCAATCTCACTCTCAATAAGTGGAATTGGCTTCATTGTAACCCTTATGAACACATTATTAAAAGTGAAAACTAAAAAATATTGGAATGGGTTACTTATCACATTTTCTATTTATTCCTTGTGGAAAAAGGAAAAGACTGCAATAAACAGAAAACGTGAAAACAGCAGTCACGGCACATGATTAAGGCAGGCGCTGGTCCTTGTGATTTAAGATCATTACATGTTGCTCCTTGCAACAATCTCATAAGGTAGACACTGGTTCTATGCCCATTTTTTCAAAAGGGAAAACTGAGGCACAAAATGTTCAAACAACGTGTGTGTGGTCAAAGAGCTGGTTGGAGCAAAGGGTAAAGACGAGGCGGAGTGAGTCGAGCACGAAACTCCTCACCCTCCTGCCCTCGGGCAGCACTCACTACTCAGGAATTACTTCTATCTGTAAAGGACTGAAGACAACCCTCCCACCCCCCAGACAGAATGTGATCTAGGTGGTTATAAAATCCACTCTAATTACCCAAAGTCCAACTGTGTCTCCGGATATTTATGACCAAGTCTCACTAAACGAAGAAACAGTTTCTTGGAATTTCCAACTTCTAATTGTGACTCAGTCCCTAGTTAAATATATATAAACCTATAACAATCTTGTAAAAGATATGTATTAATACTAGTGAGTAAAAATTTATTGGAAAATATAATTTAAGAATAGTGGAATTTTTCCATGAATTTTTTGAAGTACCGTTGTGTGTATGCATATGTATGTAAGTATGCATGCAGACACATGCACATATACATAGATAGAGATAAATATATTTAGATATTTCATTTGTGAATTGTATATGGAGAACATATATAGGGACAATTGTGAGCTGTGTCATATATGTGAAACTGATCTAGAAACTAGGTGTGAATTTAGTTTTATTATCTTTGGGGCTTGAGTCCAAGCACTTACAAACTTATTATAATAATTCCAATTTGAAAATTTTATATGGTCAAAAGCAGAAAGAAGAAAAGATAGAAATTAATTTTTCTTCTCATTTGCCAGACATGTATCACATAACTTAGATAAGACACAAAAACTGTTCGTTTTACAGATGAAGGGCATCTATAGAAAGTATATGAAGAAAAGTATAAATATTAAGCTGTGTGACTAAAACTCGCTGCCATTGAGTCAATGCTGCTTCCTAGCAGCCCCTGTGGGTTTCTGAGACTGTAGCTGTTCATGGGAGTAGAAAGTCTCATCTTTCTCCCACTCAGCTGCTGGTGGTGTCCATCTGCTGACCATGCGGATTGCAGCCCAACGTGTAACCACTACACCACCAGGGTGCCTTCAAGATGTATGTCACAGCAACTTCATAAAATGGATATGAATGTTCAGAAGGAGACTTGACACATTAATGTTAATTTATTTTTCATGGCAGGTACAGACTGAACCAAAGGAAAAAGGAAAATAAAGCAACTATATTGTAACTAAAAATAAATTATTTCACATGGAGTGTATATCAGGAACTAGCTTATGAGCTCCAAAAGTGATGCAAACGTTAATTTGACTTTTCTTTTCAAAGGGATAAAATGATCTCAGGTGATAATAAATAATATGATTTTCAAGGACAAAAATGCAAAAAAAAAGAGAGTGAAATGGACTGTCTGGATTATTAGTTTTCATTTTAAGGCACAATAATACTGAAAAGTGTGAGTATAATATCTACAACAGGTAACAAGTATACACACTATAATTAGATATTAAGTTTTTAAAAATGAAAGCAATTTTCATTAAAACTCCGAACATGATTAAAATGTTTTTCCTCCTTAAATGAGATATCCAAGATATTTTTCTTGTGGCAGGAAAAAATAATTTTGTTCATTAAATATGTGCAAGGCCATTGGGAAAACGGTTCCCAACAAAACAAACCTAGTCTTAAGTTTCTTAACTATTTTATAAAGCTTACAATTCCAAATAATTGTCATTATATATTCGTTGTGATATTCAAGTATACCTATGTAACGATCCTATAGGACAGGAAAGAATTGCCCCCTTTTGGGCTTCCAAGTCCAAGTCTGTAAATCTTTATTGGCGTGGAAAGTCTCATCTTTTCTCGGAGGAGCATCTGGTGGTTCTAAACTGCTGACCTTCAAGTTAGCAGGCCAACCAACCCGTAACACACTCTGTTAACAAGTTCCTTCTATAAATGTGTGTATGTATATGTATATGTAGATGTGTGTGTGTTTCCTAAAGTTGCAAAAAAGTTAAGACAAAACCTTTACGTTAATTTTAGAACAGTCCAAAATCATCACATACAACAAAATGGAAACCATAACCTCACTAAGATCGAAGCACAATCATGTTCTACAGAGTTCACACTTAAATCAAATGCTTTGGTACTGAAAGCAACAACCATATGTTAATGTTACAGGTTAAAGTGTTTTGTGGTTTTATTAAACTACATGCTCAAAATAATGGTCCAGGGTTCATTTTCCTGAAAGGAGATGAAATAATTATACAAAGGACTTTGTTCACAAACCTAACTAATATCGCCATGCCCCGCCCCGCTTGCTCCTTAGAGGTCAAGAGGTCAAGACTTTGTCTTACGTACTTTGGACATGTCAGGAGAGACCAGTCCCTGGAGAAGAACGTCACGCTTGCTAAAGTACAGGGACAGTGACAACGACGTGGCCTCTCACCGAGGTGGAGGGGCACAGATCTCCACCAGGAGCTCAAGGTAGAAATGGTTGTGACAATGGGCGCAGGGCTGGGCAGTGTGTTGTTCTGGTGTGCACACAGTCACTACGCGTCAGAAGCCACTCGGTGGCATGGAACATTAACAACAACAAAAACAACAACACCTCACTAATCGCCTACTAGCAATTTGGATGCATTTCATAGAGTCATCCTCTTAAAATAGAAATGGTCCAAGTGATTTAAATATATTAGCATGACGGGCTTTTTCATGTCCTGGCTTTAACCATTACTGTCATAAGTGGACTGTGATTATTGCCAGAGGTTTGTCGTGAGCACCGATGATGTTTTCCTCCCTCTACACCCCACTCTTTATCCCTGCGTGACTTTTCTTAGGTGCTCAAATCGGACTCGGAGGAACCTCTATGTGATGGAAGGTCAACCGGGCCCCAGAGTTTTGTAAGTTGAGGGGCCTTAGGGGCACCGCAGTAAAGGGCTTGGTGCTCAACTGAGGTTGAACTTACCAAGAGAGAGAGATGTCTCAGTCCATGTCTGCAAAGGTTTACAGCCTTGGAAATCTTTTGGGGCAGTTCTCAGTGCTGGGGGGTCAGTGTGAGTTTGGAGCGACTCAATGACTGTGGTCATCTTTACAGGAGCAGCCCACCCACTCATTCACCACAGACCTCTGGTCAGCGTAGGCATGATTGCTGCAGAAAAGAATCATGCAGCTTGCTTCACCGCCATATTTGCTGTATGGCAGTGATCTGGAGCCAAACCTACAGTGTCCCTCAGGGATCCCTGCACTTGAAGGTAAACTTAACCATCTAGATACACGTTGTCTTTAAGATTGTCTTTCTCATGTCATTACAGTGTTGTACACTTTAACTATTCTTGGTGAAACATCTGTTCTCTTATTAGAACTCAAAGTTCATATCCACTTGTTGCAAAATCATGCTTTATCCTCTAACGCATAGGTTCTCAAATGTACTTGGTCTACCGCTCTCTTTTGAGAAAAAACAAACGAAAAAACAAAAAACATACTCAGTCCCCACCCGAAGCAAATGAAAACGTTCGTATATAAACCACCATCTGGGATAAAGTCTCGTCGTCTATTCTTGCAGCCATCCCCGGGATTGCTCAGGATACCTGATGGCTACACACTGGGCTGCTGACTGTAGATCAGCAGTTCAAAACCACCAAGCACTCGGCAGGGAGAAGGACCCGGCTTTCTGCTTCCAGAGAGATTTATAGTCACAGTAACTCAGTGCCCCCTTCCAAAGGGTCACTGAGTCAGCATGGACGTGTTGGCAGTCATTTTGTTTTGATGAGGACAGTGCCCCCCACCCCACCCATGGGTGGTATCACCCACGTCAGGAACCAAACTAACCCAAACGCACTGCCAGGATGCACTGCTCGAAAGGAACAGGGGACAAGGTGCTTTAGGGTTTACATGTCCATCTTCTGAATTCTGGGTTTGAGCAGGTATACTGTTCAAGACCCACTGGTGGAATTCCAAAAACACTTTCTAAACCACAGAAATCAGACACAGTGACTTCTGATAGCTTAAGTTCTACACAGAATTTTCAAAGGGTTACATAAAGAAGAGTTACAATTTATAGCAGTAATTATTGCCTACCAGTTTTAATAATTGGTACAGCCTATGATTTATGTTTATATAAATCAATATAGCACTCAAAACCCAATAAGCACAAAGTTGTCTTTCACCTCTAAATATCCATAAATATTTAATTAAAAAGAAATAATTTGATGAAGCAATTTGTGACACTCATTCTAACAAGATAATAAAAAAGGATGAAGTTGGAATTAACTCTTAGATCTTATTGGTGGCTCTGATGCACAGATCATGCAACATTCAGAAACAAATCCATTACATGCAAGCCAACTGTTTATGTATGAAATAATGTGGAAGGTTAGTTTTTACAATGTATTGTTTCCAAATATAGAAGGCATCACAGAGCAGTCAGAATTTTAAGTTTTGTTCCTCAGCCTTCTCTTTGCAGTCTTTTCTGAACATCCCTGTAAACCCAGTCTTTCCTCTGCTGGTGCCCACCTCGAACACCGTGTGCACCCATGATTTTTATGTCTGTTTCCCCTACTCAACTTTTCATCTTTGGTATCATGTTCTATTGATATTTGGGTTCCCATTTTCTAGTATAGAGTCCTAGCACAAACAAGGTGTTTAATTTATTTTCATTAGGGTAAGTGAAAATTCACTCTTTTATACCTAACCCTAAGCACTCTCGGGAAATATCTATTTATATTTAAATCATCTCTATCTATACCAGAGACACCATAGATACCATTCTCAAAAAGACCAAGGTGATCAAGTTAACTCCAACTCATAGCAAGCCAAGGACACAGAGACACAACCTGATAGATTTCTGAGATGATCAATCTTTACTGTAACACAAAAATCTTGCCTTTCTCCTATGTAACAGCAGGTGATTTTGAACTGCTGATCTTGTGGTTGGGAGCCCAACATGTAACCCACTATACCACCATGACTCCTTGCAAATAGCATCAAGCACATCAGAATGTTACCTCTATCTGTAATTATTCCTATGACTGGCATATATTGTTAGATGTATAACATCCATTATGTATATCCATACACATCTCAATCAGGGAAACATGCTGCCACTGTTTTTCTGTTGCTCTCAATGCTTTTCTTATTCTAAATAACTGGATAATATCAAATGA